TCCTCCATCAAATATGACTCGCTGAGGCGCGCCGAATGGCGTGATCCAAATCTGCAGCAGTCGAGCGAAAACAACCGGTGGGTGCCTTGATGCGACAGTGCCGCACATCGTGGAACCTGAGGCCAGGTCGACCACGTTGAGGTAGACCAGCTGGTTGCCAGCGTAGTCGACCAGGGTGAGCAGGTCCACTCCGATGGAGTCGTTGAAGTCCCTGTCTAGTCAGATCCGCCCCGGCAGGTGTGGTAGTGGTCGCTAATGTGCCGCGCAAGCCTCGCAGTAGAGGTCGAGAGCCATGTCGATGGACCTTTGCGATGCACCGGTCACGCGAATGGCTCGGGCAAGCGAATCGTTGGACGGGTGCCCCGTGTTCACGTGGGGCTGCATGATGGCGGACCGTAGCGTCCGCTCCTCCGTGGCCGTGAGCGCTGGCACCTGTGCGGCTGCGGCGGATGGAACCGTCCTTCTGCTTGCCCTTTTCGTCGTCGATGTAGGGTGAGCTTCTCGTGCAGGTCGGCGGTTCGGACCTCGCAGCTGCTCGGCTAGCGCCGTCGCGAGCTTGGTCGTGTAGTTCTCGCTGCGCTTCGCGTCCTTCCCGCGGGCCTCCGCGCGTGGGTGCCCCCCGCTGCAGGAGCGCCTGAGCGAGTCATCGAACCCGAATTGGTCGGTGATGATCCGCCACGGCTTCTTGATGTGGATCCCATTCTTTGTCTTGAGGTCGAACGCGCAGCCGTCGAAGTCCACGGCGTGCGGGAGCTGCTCCTTCAGCTGCTTGGCAATGGCGTTCTTGTTGGGATCCCATCCGTCGCAGTACCTTGGCCATTCGAACGAGACGGCGAGCTGGGCGCCGAACTCTCTGCGCAGCCGTGGCATCGACTGCAGGAACAGGCCGATCATCTGCTTGGACTTGGCCCGGTCCTTTTTTATATAGGAGATCTTGCTCGGGTCGATCTTGGCGACGAGTCGTTGTAGTGATGTCCACGGCTGACAAGGAAACGCAGCGTGAACTCGCGCACTCTTGCCTGCGGCAAGGTGCTCCCGGATCCTGCCCTCCAGCTTCTGGACCACGAATTGTTTGGAGAGGTCGAAGCCTGGAAGACCACGCCTGACAGCAGCTCCTCCTTTCTTCTTCCAGACGGCGCTGAGCTTGCTGTCCGGGTTGCAGCACCACTCGTAGAGCACGGTGCTGTTCGCTATGGAGGTCGGGCTGGATCTGGTTGTAGACTTGGCCAGGTTAATGATCATGGCCTGGCCGATCTTGTGCGGCTGGATGCCGCTCTTGCTGGTGACGAAGACTGAGCGCTTGCCGGCGATCAGCTGCGGCTTCGCCCCCTTCGTGAGCGTCTTCACGCGTGGCTGCTCCTCCTCCACGATGTTGGCCTCGGGTCCGAGGCAGCCGTTGGTGATGGCGTCCTGGCCGTGGCTCAGGGATGCGGGCGTGCCGAAAACGCAGTCCGAGCAGAACCCTTGGTGGCTGCAGGCCTCGACGGTCGTCTCGCCACATGCGATGCAGTCCTGCAGGGGCTCGGTCACGCACGTCGTGGGGTAGGTCATCTGCGGCAACGTCGCTAGCGTGAGGTTCTGAGCTGGAGCTGCCGTGGAGCAGCAGACCAACGCTGAGGCTACGGCCGAAAGCAGCCACGACCCCTTCGGTCGGCGAGTCTGGAGACGTCTCGGAACGTTCAGCTCCTTCTTCGTGACGGGGTTATTGATGGTGTCGATCAGCGCGCTGGTCCTGGTAGTGTTGTTGACCGTGGGCTGGTCGCCCGACCTCGTCTTCCGATCCCGTCGGTCGAGCGCTTTCTCGACCTCTACGTATAGGGTCTTTTCCTGCTGTCGCTTCCTTCCGGACGAACTGGCCGCGCTGGGCGGTTGCTCCATGCCGGCGTCCCTGATAGCCTGCCAGTCTTCTGGCTGCAACTTGATTGCGGGGTGACCCGCGGCGCTCGTGGTGAGCTTCTGGGTGGCGTTCCCAATGCGGATCTGGCCCTTCCAGAGAGAAATGTCGATCTTGGAAGGCTGGATGAAGTCGCGGCCGATGAGCAGGCCCAGCGTGGGGCTATCCACGACGCTGAACACGATGCGGCCAACCTGGCCGCGCAGCACAAGCGGCGCGGTGACGCGCAGCTTGCTTGGGAGAGTCCCGCCGTTGCCGAACCTGTAGACCTCGTCCTCCAGCTCCTCGAGGATCTGGTTGGCAAGTCCCATCCTCGTAAGGATGTCCTTGTAGTTGACGTGCCACTTCTTGCCCGAGACGCAGAGAAGGCAGGTGGTGTCGACCGCGCCGACGCCTTCGTCCACGGGCTTGTCACTGCCGATCGCGACGTTCACGTTCGGCAGGTGGTGGATGAGCCGCTCCGAGACGCAAGTCTCTGGGGGCGGCGTGACTGGTCTTTGCGGGTGCAAGGCGATCTCCTCGTCCGCGAACTGGGCCTGCTCGGTGATGTGCGCCTGGCGCTGAGGACGGCCTCCGCGGCCTCCTCGTCCACCGCCCTTTGACTTGCCGTCCTTGGGCGCGAACTTGCGAGCACCTGGCGCGGGGCACTCCTGGTCCCCTGTCCAGTGTCCGGTCTCGCCGCAGTCCCAGCAAGAAGTGTTCCTCTTGCGCTGGTCGACCCGGCTCTGGAGCTTGGTCGGGCGGCGGTGCGGTGCGGACTTGGCCTTGCCGCGGCCCTTGAGGGCTTCCCGGGCCGACCTGATGGTGGCCATGGCCTCGGGGATAGCGGCAAGTTCCGCCGCGGCAGCTTCGACCTGTGCAGAGTCGTCGCCGTCGAACAGCTCGGAGATGTCCACGTTAGAGGACTCGAGCTCGGCGCTGAAAGCCTCGAGCTCCTGGCGAACGATGTCCTGGGCGTCGGCCTCGTCCTCGTCGTCCTCCTCTTGCTCTTCGTCGTCCTCGTCGCCCGGCTCGTCGACGACGCTGGTGGAGCGCCCCCCGCGGCTGGAGGAAACGTTGCTGCGCCAGCCGCCTTGCGAGCGCGACTGGTTGGTCCATGTTCTTGGCGGGGGGGCGTGGCGCTCCAACGTATGTACGTCCGGGGACATCCTGATCAGCCGCCCGCGGATGCGCTGGTAGCCGAAGTGCTCGTCGGGCAGGTTGCCCGCGACGCGCTCGCGGCGCTCTGCCGTGGGCCCAGCCTTGCGCAGCAGGAACCATCCCGCCACGTTGCCCAGCGCGTTGAGTTCCGCCTCGTTCTCGCGTAGCTGCTGCAGTCCAGTCTCGACACGGATGAGCCAGTCCGTCATGCGTTCACCTCGTGATAGGTGATGTTGAGTCGTCTCGAACAACTTCTCGAGGGTCTCGCCCTTCTGCGCGGGCTTCTGCTGACCCAAGCTAGCCTCCAGGTGCTGTAGCGCATTCTCGATGCCGACCTGGTTCCTATTGCGCTTCCTGTCATCGGGGTCTTCGATGTCCGCCGCGGCTGCTGGATGCAGCTGCGCCTCCGTCATATTTAGTGCTGCACCTTGGGCTGTCCCACTAAACTTCAGCACGAGCTTCGATGCAAGATTGTGCTGCACGGCGAGGTTCTCACTGAACTTCCAGAGCTTAACCTCCTGCTTGTAATCTCTCCTCTTGGATGGATCGCCATTCGAAGTATTGATGACGCTGTGTGCATAGTTGTCTGTGATGATGTCGAGAATGAAATAGTGAGCCGCGTCGCTGACACTGGCGTCGAAAGAGAAGCAGCTGGCGTCGCTGACACCGTTGTCGGAGAAGTAGCAGGCGTCGCTGACACCGTCGTAGGAGAAGTAGCTGGCGTTGAAAGCGTAGTCGCTAGCGTCGCTGACACTGGCGTCGAAGGAGAAGTAGGCGTTGATGCTGGCGTCGCTGACGCTGGCGTTGGGGAAGTAGGTTTTGATGCTGGCGTCGCTGACGCTGAGGTTGGAGAAGTAGGCGTTTATGCTGGCGTCGTTGACGCTGGCGTAGGAGAAGTAGGCAAAGTAGTCGTTGATGGCGGCGTCGCTGACGCTGTCGTAATATAAGTAGGCGTTGATGTCGGCGTCGCTGAGGCTGGCGTAGGGAAAGTAGGCGTTGGAGGCGTTGGTGCTGGCGTCGCTGACGCTGGCGTAGGAGTTGGCAGGGTAGGCGTAGGTGCTGGCGTCGCTGACGCTGGCGTGGAAGAAGTAGGCGTTGGTGCTAGCGTCGCTGACGCTGGCGTAGGCGCTGAGCACCAGCGCGAGGAAACCGCTGGGCTTCGATTCCAGTACGGATAGACGTGTCGCAGACGCCGTCGTTGCAATATGTACGGCCCCGCGGGCCGGGATCGCGAGCCTCGCTCCGTTACCACTGTGATATGGAGAATGATCGCTGATCGTTCTTGTTCGAGCGTCGAACGGGCGTAGCTCTAGGCCACGGGCCCTACATGTTTTGAAACCTATACGGCCGCAGGAGATAAGTTGAGAGCAAGCAGCCGCAGCAGCAATCTCTCTGGAGCGAGCGGTAGCGAGGCGGAAGCGGGGATTAGCAGCGAGGGAACCGCTAGGAATCACACCTGAAGGGCACGGCGGCGCGATGGTGCGAATGGCCTGGGGCTGTGATCCGGATCGCACGGGACGAGGACGATGATGATGCTGCTGCTGATGATGCTGATAATGCTGATGCTGATGCTGATACCGATTCTGATGCTGATGATGATGCTGATGATGATGATGATGATGATGATGATGATGATGATGATCATGATTATGATGATGATGATGACGATGATGATGATGATGATGATGATGATGATGATGATGATGATGATGATGATGATGATGATGATGCTGATGCTGATGCTGATGCTGATGCTGATGCTGATGCTGATGATGCTGATGCTGATGCTGATGCTGATGCTGATGCTGATGCTGATGCTGATGCTGATGCTGATGCTGATGCTGCTGCCGATGCAGATGCTGCTGCTGCTGCTGATGATGATGATGATGAGGAGGAGGAGGAGGAGGAGGAGGAGGAGGAAGACGAGGAGGAGCAGGAGGAGAGCAGACGAGAACCCAAATGTCTGGGGACACTACGGGGCCCAACGGTGGGATGAGGGCGCCGGCGTTCGCCAGGATGGCAGCGCTGTCCCCGGCGAGCTTGGAGACGGCGCCACGCATTGGAGATGCACTCACTGCCCCCCTCGGCCACTGTCCGCCAGCGCCCGCCTGGTGCCCGCTTCGGGGGAGGGCTCGCGGCGCGCCGTTGCTGTTGTTCGAATGCTGTGGGGGAGCGACCACGGCCGCGGAGGCCCAGCGCCGTCGTTGATTTTGTCGCCGCCGGGGCTCCAGCGGTGGTGCTCGCCGCTGCTGGCGGCGAGCCCTCCAGACCGCGGAGGCCCCCCGTCCTTGCTGGGCGCGCGGTCGTGACTCCGAGGGGCTGCGCTTGGGGCTGCCGGCGGTGTGCCGCCATCCCTGCCTAGCTGCTTTGATACGCTCGTGCAGAAACGCCACACGTAGCGTGCTCGAAACGGGCGGGTCAAACACTCTGCGTGTTGGTTTGACGTGTCAGGCCACGTTTTGGCGAACGTGTTGTGCCAAACGTGCGTTTTCAATCTACGTGCCGAGCTCCGTATCAAGACGCTACGGGTTGCGTGTTGCGTATCGGGGCGGCTAAGCTGCCAGGATTCAAAGCTTTTGTGTTCAGGGATTCGTGTTCGGGCGGCGGGAGCTCGACCCGGATCTCAGACGTCACTTCTTATTTTTTCGGCCAGCGTATTTTCTTCGAGTTGGGCCTCCGGGGCCCGTTATCGGGCCCCGGGCCATCACATTACCCCGACGATGTACTCAACCCTTGCGCAACGTGTGGCCACAGGAACTGGGAAGAGTTAATATGGGGGTAATGACGTGACACGGACTTATCTTTGTTGCGAACGTTGCTTGGCAGGCTCGCGAGTTGTGCGACTCGTGAGCTGCCGGCAAGTCTGCATCTTTCAAAAGTGGCGTCAGTTTCGCAGCTCGCAGCTCTCTCAGGGATGGTGAGGTCCCGTTTGGATTTGCGCAGCACCGCACTAAGCTGCCTCCCAGCAGCTCTCGAGAAAGGGGGCAATTTTGCAATGCGCAGTCCGCCAGAGATGGCGAGGTCCCTCTTTGATCTGCGTAGCACCGCACTAAACTGAGCCCCCCCAGCAGCCCTCGAAAGTTGCGACAGTTTCGCAGTTCGCAGCCCCCCAGAGATGGCGAGGTCCCGCTCTGATCTGCGAAGCACCGCACCAAGCTGGGCCCCCCGCAGCAGCTTTCGAACATGGCGACAGTTTTGCAAATCGCAGCCCCCGAAGGATGGCGGGGTCCCGCTCTGACCTGCTTAGCACGGCATTGAGCAGCCCTCCCCAGCAGCCCTCGAAAGTGGCGACAGTTTCGCAGATCGCACCCCCCCAGGGATGGCGAGGTCCCGCTCTGATCTGCGTAGCACTGCAGTAAGCTGGCCTCCCTGCAGCCCTCGAGTGTGGCGACAGTTTCGAAATTCGCAGCCCCCAGAGATGGGGAGGTCCCGCTCTCAGCACCGCAGTAAGGTGGGCCCCCCAGCAGCCCTCGAGAGCGGCGACAGTTTCGCAGATCGCAGCTCCCCATCGATTGCGAGGTCCCGCTCTGATCTGCGCAGCACCGCTCAAGCTGCCCTCCCCCTCAGCAGCCCTCGAACGTGGCGACAATTTCGTAGATCGCCCCCCCCCCCAAGGGATGGCGAGATCGGAGGCAGGTACGAAACATAAGGAGAGACATATATATATATATATATATATATATATATAGAGAGAGAGAGAGAGAGAGAGAGAGAGAGAGAGAGAGAGAGACAGAAAGAGAGAGAGAGAGAACAAACAGAGAGAGAGAGAGAGAGAGATACAGAGAGAGAGAGAGAGAGAGAGAGAGACAGAGAGAGAGTGAGAGAGAGACAAGAAACAGTAAGGAGGGAGGCGGGAGGAGGAGAAGGAATGACGCGACCATAGTGTTGTTTTCAAACTTATTTGTGACGTACCCAACCAATTCGCATCAAGCGGCAACAGGAGTTGGCCCTAACTTGCCAGGGCAATTACAGGGCAGGTGCCGTTATATGTTGGGCAAGCTGCATGGGATGCGCTCGCGTGGCACGGTTCACAGGAGAACAGCATAATGATGAGGAGCGAGGGCCCAGACTCGAGGAGGACATGGGGGCAGGAACGAAGGGCAGGAAACGGACGCGCGGGGGGGCGACTCGTCAGCGCGGCGGCAGCAGAGGGAAGGTGGCAGGGGGCAGAGGACGACTACGAAAGTGACGGGAAGCGACTGAAGAGTGTTGCTTCCGTCGGTAGTACGCTGAAGATGCAGCGCTGCCTGCGCCATGTCGCCGCGGCGCTCGACAAACTTATCATGCCCGCTTCTAGTCAGTGCGAGAAGCGAGCGAGGCCGAGCTCGTTCGCCAGCTTCCCTGCTTCCTTCCTCCATATTTCAGTGCGGGAGCGAAGCGCTCGAAGGCGCGCCGCCAGGTCTGCGTTCGGCCCGCGGCAGCGCCCCGCTGGACCCCCCAGCAACCTTCGAAAGTGGCCCCCAGGGATGGCGAGTTCCAACCTGAGTCTGGGTGGTGCCTCGCTCCGCTGAACCCCCCAGCAGGCCTCGAAAGTGGCGACGGTTTCGCAGATCGCAGTCTCACAGGGATGGCGAGGTCTAATCTGAGTCTGGGTGGTACCTCACTCCGCTGACCCCCCCCTGTAACCGTCGAAGGTGGCGACAGTTTCGCAGTTCGCAGCCCACAAGAGATGGCGAGGTCCCGCTCTGAGTCTGGGTGGTGCCTCACTCCGCTGGAACCCCCAACAGCCTTCGAACGTTGCGACAGTTTCGCAGATCGCAGCCCCCCAGGGATGGCAAGGTCTAGTCTGAGTCTGGGTGGTGCTTCGCTCTGATGAGCCCCCCAGCAGGCTTCGAAAGTGGCGACAATTTCGCAGATCGCAGCCCCCCAGGGAAGGCGAGGTGTAACCTGAGTTTGGGTGGTGCCTCACTCCGCTGACCTCCCAGTAGCCCTCGAAAGTGACCGTTTCGCAAATCGCAGCCCCCCTGGACTGGCGACACTCCGCTGGACCCCAGCAGCTTTCGAACATGGCGACAGTTTCGCACATCGCAGCCACTCAGGGATGCCCAGGTCTAGTTCGAGTTTGGGTGGTGCTTCACCCCGTTGAACCCCCTAGGAGCCTTCGAAAGTGGCGACAGTTTGGCAGATCGCAGCCCCCCGGGGATGGCGAGGTCCAACCTGAGTCTGGGTGGTGCCTCACTCCGCTGAACCCCCCAGCAGGCCTCGAAAGTGGCGACAGTTTCGCAGATCGCAGTCTCACAGGGATGGCGAGGTCTAATATGAATCTGGGTGGTGCCTCACTCCGCTGTACCCCCCAGCAGCTTTCGAAAGTGGCCGCGCTTTGGCAGATCGCAGCCCCCCCAGGGATGGTGAGGTGTAATTTGAGTTTGGGTGGTGCCTCACTCCGTTGGGCTCGCCAGTGGCCCTCTAAACTGCCGACACTTTGACATATCGCAGCCCCCCACCGAGCATCCAGGCAAGACGACGAAACAGGAGGCAGGGTGGCAGGCAAGTAGGAGGGGTGAGTGGAAGAGGGAGACCGGAGAAGAATGTGTGCGACCGCAGAGCTCTGTTCAGAACGAGTACCCAACGCAGGAGGGTTGGGAACTAGAACCCAACAGCGGAGGGTTGGGGAAAAGGATCGGGGGCGAAAAACTGGCCCCGGGGAAGGGGTCGGACCCTCTGGGGCCGCGCAATGAACACATCAGAGCGAAGGATGTCTGGGCATACACATCCACTGCCCCTTGCCAGGCCCATCCTGGGCCCAGGAACGGCGTATGTGCCTCCCTGGCCGAGCCATCAGGACTTGTACACCACTCCTGTGCCCACGATGGGCCTGGTCAGGGGCACCAGATGTGTATAGACCTCGTCGCCCTGCGTGTGCGCTTCGTCTGGAGATGCGGCTGCTCACCGATCCAGGCTTGCATGGCTGTCCGGCGAGCTCTGTGGGCTCCTCGCAGCGTTTTGTTCCGAGGGCTTGCTGGAGCCTGGCAGACTTCGTGGTACATCGACGGCCGCGTCGCTTCGCGCAGGAGCGCACTATCACCACTTGGTCCACCTTGGCGTAGAACCCAGACCTCCGACGGCTCGATGTCTTCGAGTCTCTGCGCCCTGGTTATCTCGACCCACTCTCTGGGCCATGGTTCTCGCCCCGAGCCGTTCTGAGACTGTCCTGGGCCCCGCGGGCGGTCTCGAGGGGCAGAGGTCGCAGAAAAGCCTCGGGCCCGGTACTTTCGGAGGCGTCCGGGAGGGGGGCGACCCTGTTCTTTCAGTGCGCTCCATGGCTCCCCCCCCTCGTCCGTGCAGCCTCTCGCCATGATACGCTAACCTCCCTCTTCGTGGCCCCCCTGTTCGTGACGCGCACGGTGACTTCGTGACACGCACGCTTCGTTGTGGCGTCCGGTCGGCTGGGGCTGATAACCTGGGCGACTCACGCGATCGCGTCATCGAGCCGCTTGCCTGGATCACCCCAGCCATGAATTGTTCGCTGCGGGAGAGGGTGTGGACCCCTTCCTGGGGCCCTAGAGGTCTGGACCTTCTCCACAGGGCTGGCCTCTCATCCAGAGTCGGCTTCTGACGCTCCCGGGGCCCGATGAGGGCCCCCGGAGGCGAAACACTGCGCAACATCTACCCCGTCGTGATTTGTTTCAAAGGTCTGGGTTCGGCGCACCCGATACGGTCATGACCGTTTGCTCAGCGTGTCGCTCCGCCGGTGCTGGCCCACCGCGCTCTGGCGCGGCACGCTGACCGGGTCCTGGTCCGCAGGCCTTCACGTTCCGAGCCTTCTCCAGCCCTCCGCCCTGCGGAGCAGAGCGACACGCTGTCGGTTTGCAGGGCATGTCGTGTCGCAGGGATCGTCGCCGCGGCACTCGAAGCAGATGTTCTTGGCCGTACCGTCGAATCTCTTGGACGCCTGGGAGGCTGCCAGCCACAGGCGCCCCCCGACTGGCGCGGCGCAGAGGGGGATAGCGGGCGCTGCGCGCGCAGGCGTCGGCCTCCTCAGGGGCAACGTTAGGGGGGACAGGCTCAGGGGCGAAGCATCACCCCCCAACCGCCCATTCATCGCCGATAGTTGGCGGCGCCCACAAGGGGGCGGCGTGAGGGGGCTTGGTTTCTGAGAAGGCAGCGGGGATTCTCAGAGGGCAGGGGGCTTCTCGGAAGCCCGCCCGGCCTCTAGGGAGGCCACCCCCGTACGGGCGTCGCCAAGATGGGGCCCGATGGGCCACCTTGCATAGGTTCATGCGGCTTCCACTACTGGGGACCCCTCGCCGCTCTGTCGGCGATATATCGCCGATTCCAGGTCGATGTCCTCTGACGTCCGCCGAGGTGTTTTTTCAATCCGCGGCCCCAGAGGTCCCGACTCTTTACCTGGGGGTTGTTTTTCGTCATGGGTTAATGTTAGGTGTTTCCGGGCACCAGCGGCCCACACCGAGGAGAAAATGCGGGCTGAGGAAATCAGGTCGTCCGAGATTCTATGGGTTGATGCAGTTTTGAGGTTTCTTTGAGGCCTCATGATGGCCTCTTGGGGCCACTTCTGGGCCTCTTGGTGGCCTCATCGGTAGGCATTTGGGGCTTCTTGGGGGGCATGTTGGGGCCCTGGGCACCATCTAGAGAGGGAAATGTGGACATGTCAACTCGTGCGCCCTCTCGAAGACCCCTCTTGTTGCTCTTGTGGGGTCCCTCTTGGGGCCTCTTGTGGCCTGTTGGGGCCCTCTTGGAGGCCTCCTGAGCTGTCTTGGGGCCTCCGCGGGTCGTCTTGAGGTCTTCATGAGGGGGTCCCTTGGGCTGTCTGAGGACGATCTTTGAGGCCTCTTGGGCCGTCTTGGAGCCTTGGAAGCTGAACGGGCGAAGCTGGCGAAACCTTGGAACACCGCATGCAAATCAGTGAAGTTCGCCCTTCGGGGCTCTCTTGGGGACCCTCTTAGTCCCTTCTTGGGGCGTTCTCGAGGCTTCGTAGACCGTCTCGGAGGCGAGGTGGACCTTGTTTGGGGCCTCTTACGGCGGTAGTGGGGTCTCTTAAGGTTTTCTTGGTCGTCTTGGAGCCCTCGTGGGGCCGTCTTGGAGCCGCCAGAGCAGCCCAGGGAGGGCCGGACTTCCCTTGGTGAGTTCACCTGGGGGTGTGCGTCACCCAGCGGGGGGGGTCAGACGCCCAGATTTGAGGCCCAGGGGTGATCATACGGCCAGGAATTTGGGCTTAGCGTGTCGCTTCACAGGTTCTGGCCCACCACCCTTTGGCACGACACGCTATCCACGTCCCCACTGCCAAGCGTCAGCGTCACGAGTTTTTTCCGAGCCTCCCGCCCCGCGGAGTGGAGCGACACGTCATCCTCTTGCAAGGCGTAGCGTGTTGCCTGGGCCGCCGCCGCGACACGCTAAGCGCTAAGCAGCAGTTCCTGACCGTATGGGGGGGAACGCCACACATGCCTGGAGACCCACAAGGGGTCAGCGGATTGGGGTCCCCTCCTGAGCAGCCCCCCCTAACGTTCCCCCTCTCCTCTCCTACGGTCCCCCTCTGACCGCCTCGTCTGCCGGGGCTAGGCGGGGAGAGCCCCCACGCGAGAAGCAGCGTCTCCTCCTCCTCCTGCTTCCCCTCCTCCTCCTCCTCCTCCTCCTCCTCCTCCTCCTCCTCCTGCTCCTCCTCCTCTTTGTCCCCTGAGATCTGGGCGTCGCACGTTTTCTGTCGCCGGGCGCTTTCGTCCAGTTTCGGGCCCAGGGGCCCTCGCGGGTGGATGCGGCTCGAGAAGTGCCGCAGAGACAGATGGTGTGGAGGGCTCCAGTGGTGTTTTTTCGTAATGTTTGAATTTGTGTCGCAGTGTCAGGTCTGAGGGTCCTGGAGAAGGACTATGAAGAGGAGGAGGAGGAGGAGGAGGAGGAGGAGGAGGAGGAGGAGGAGGAGGAGGAGGAGGAGGAGGAGGAGGCTGCGCTTTGCTTAATCACGTCTTGACCATGGCCAAGGAATCAGTGCCTGGCTAAACGGCGCTTCGCCCACGGCCGAGACGGGCAAGCCTGCGACAACGTGACAGGATCGCCAGGAGGAGTAGGAGGTCAGACGATTTGCGAGCGCTGCGGTCCCGATTGTGTACCCATCTTCCGAATCTTCCCCTCCCCGCCTCCTTCCGCTCCTCTCCGCTTCACCATTCCTGCATCGCTTAGGGGTGCTGCCTCGATCAGGCGGGCTGCATGCCGCTGTTTTGTTTCCAGTATGTGAGCATTGAGCATCGAGAGTCTGGTAGGCATTTTGGGCCTTGAGCGGTCGAGCCGCCCCGCTAGGATGTATTTAAATTCATTTGTCAGACTTGTGCCGGGCTCGGCCGCTTTCCCTCTTTAGGCCCGCGTTTCGCTCCCCGCGGTGATGGATTGCACTACAGAGTCCGAGGGCCTGAAAAGTCGCCGTCGCCAGGGATCAGCATCGACCGCGCGCGTGGATCGGGCACTGGCGATGCCGTGGCGCACGAGTTACGGGACGCCAGGGACACGCGTCAGGAGAGCGGTGCTGGCGCTCGTAGGTGATGGCAGTACTGCACTGGCTAGTGAATGGCAGCAGGGATCTTGCCTCGAGTGAGAATCTGAGGGGTACCCGTGCCCAGAGCCCACACGACCCCAGATGTCTCTATTCATTCCGCAGGAGCTGTTTTTCATCCCGAGTCGTTTTCTGACCCTCTTGGGGCTTGGCGAGGCCCACAGAGCCTGAAAACAGCAAACACCTCCTGTCGTGAGCTTTTCGTGATACGAAGAGGCCGCGGTGTCGCGTGTGCCGCAGGACCTAGTGGTGGTCAGCGGGGCAGCCAGCCCAGGACAGGGTCCAGTTCGATCCGATCGATCCGATTCGATGTCGGTTTCCGATCCGATTTGGTTCGGATACTTCGACGATCCGATGCGGCTCGATGCTTGCATGGCGCCGTTGTGGGTGCTGGCGCGGGCGATCCGAACCGATTCTCACTTCGTGCCGATGCTTGCCGATCCGACGCACCTTCCCATTCGATCCGATTTTCCGACTCGATGCTTACGGTTCCTGGCCCAGGGCCGTCGTGGAGGATAATTTTGTGCTTGGTGCGCTTCATTTGTGCACGTGCGCATGTGTGTACTGCATTGCTGTATCCTGTGACATTGCTTTACCATCTGGACTGAACCTGCACCCCACTTCTTCTCCTGAAGTTCTTGCCACATATCGAAGATCTTCAATGCACCCGGGTGCCAGGTGCGTCTCGTTGCCGCGCCGGGGCGCCGTGGGCCTGCTCCTGGCTGCTCCGCGGCCGAGAGCCCCTGACGGCCGTGGGGTCCTCGAGTCCCCCCTGCCGAGCGGCGTGGTACCCATCGCGCTCGCCGCGGTACGTCCGCAGCCCTTCGCCAGGGCGCGTCTGGGTGAGATCCGGGCCACCGCCTGGGGCGCGAAGACGAATCGCGCCTCGCGCATCGCGGCCCGGGCTGTGGGGGAGTGGGCGCCCTTCTCCGAGGCGGCCTCGCGAGGGCGCGCAGATAGTCCATCGCGCTCCGCGCATCGCGGAGCGCGAGGCGCGGAGTGAGGTGACCGAGGAAGCCCCCGCAGCGCTCTCGTGGCCGGAGAGGGCCTCGCCTGCGGGGCACCCTCGCCCTCAGCACGAGGCCGCCGGAGGGCTGGCGGAGGCGCACGCGGCGGCGCCAGCGGCGGAAGGTCTGAGCAGACGAGTCTGCCAATCTTCCATCTGCAAATTTTCTTCAGGCGTAGAAACCGAACTCATGTTCCAAGAAGTAGGTTGACTGGGCTGAGCTGGTCGCACTCGCTATCGGCAGGTTTTCTTAAGGTTGCCGTGGGAACGACCACTGGTGCAGTCAATAGACGGTGGTTTCATGTTTCAGATGCCCAGGGTGTAACCAATGACGCACTCATTACCCGGTCGTTTCACGTTTTCGCGGCCAAAGCAGACCAGTGGCGCAACCTATGGCGCAATCAATGGCAGGCGGTTTTTAATTGTTGCATTCGAGGGCGCACCCCTGCGGCGCAACCAATCGCAGGCGCCTTTGGCACAAGCTATGGCACAAGTCAGGGCTCATTTCGACTCCTCCGACTCGTTTAGATTTGATTTTGATCGATTCCGATTCAGATTCCGATTCGACTTCGGATTCCGATTTGCGGTTTTTCAATGGAGGACTGACAAGCTTACCGATTTCTGCCGATTCGACTTCTCCCGACTCGGTTGCAGATTTCCGCCGATCCGATTCGTTTCGATCGCCGATCCGACTTAATCGATTAGATTCTGGGCTCTCCTGTACAATTCTTGACGCCTCGCGTATCCCCACCATCCTATCAAGTAACGATGCCCAGGTGATCTTCATTCATCAGGGACGGGCTGAGGCACGTCGTGGAACAAAGGGGTGGGGGGCAGCCGTTAGACCGAGGATCGGGATCATCTTGAGCAGGCCCAGGAGTCAACCATACATGCCTTCCTGGATCTTTCTTTATGGGAGCCTGCTTGCAGCTTATTTGGGTCATCTTGGGGCCCTCTTTGGGCTCTCTTGAGGGCCTTTGGGTCGCGCTCTTGGGGCCACCTTGGTGACCATCGATCACAGAGGGCGGGAGGTGACTAACCACGATCCGCCATCGGAATCCAAAAAGTTGCTTCTTGCATCGCTCTTTGGGCGCTCTTTGGGTGCAAGTGCTTGTGCCTCTTGGGGCTCTCTCGGGCCATATTGGAGCCATCTTGAAGCGTTCGGAAGCGAGACTGTGAGAAGACAGAAGCGACACAATATCTTTCCACAGGAGCTGGAATGATTCTGGCCTTTCGGGGAGGTCCTAGTGATGCTCCGTGGCAACTTGGAACCGTCTGGGAGGGTTCTTTGGGCCTCTTGGAGGCATGGGAGAGGCTATCTTTTACAATCTCGGAGGCCATCTCTGGGCCCATTTTGATTCGATCGACCCGACTCGATATCGAATTCAGTCGGCTCGATCGGATTCGATTTCTATTTCCCAGCGATCCGATGCGGTTCGATGCTGGCACAGCGCGGTCGTGTATCTGGGCGCAGCCGATTCGATTCAGTTTACATGCCGAGCCCATGAAACCAGATCCGATGCTCGTTCTGATTCGATCCGATTCCCCGATTCGATAGTGATCGATCCTGCCATCTTGGGCTATCTGGCGCCGGCAGCGGCGAAGACGCCCACGACGTTGACGATCTGACCCTGGCGCCTGGCCGAGCGCGCGCGTCAGGCCCAGCACGACTGGCCGCGTGGACCGCGCCGGCCACCCACGGCGTCGACGAGGGCAGCGCGGGCGTGCGGAGGCGCTGGGCGTTGTCGGGCGGCGGCGACTAGTAAGGCTTCGGGTTGCGCACAGACAGCCTCCCCAGGTAGTCCTGGCTGGTCTCAAGAGGCTCTCCGATCCCCGACTAGTCCAGGGCGCTCTCAGCACCGCGCATTACCATCAAGATCACGGTGTCTTCTATTCGGAGGTCCTTGACCGTTTCTGGATGTTCTCGTCGCCACGGCTGGGCGCAGCTCATAAAAGAATGGCCAGGATGATCACGATCACGGAGTCTTCGGTTCGGAGGTTTCTGAAGCGTTTCTGGAGGTTGTCATTGCCACGGTTGGGCGCAGCTCGCAAAGCTGGCCACGATCACGATCGCGATGTCTTCGGTTCAGAGGTCTCTGGGCGTTTCTGGAGGTTCTCGTCGCCACGGCAGGACGCAGCTCGCAGAGCTGGCCAGGATGGACCACATGATGGGTCCAGGCAAAGGTTTTCAGCGGATTTTTGGTCGAACTGCGGTGGTGGCGGCGACGACGACGGCGACGATCGACGGCGACCACGGCCGAGACAACCAGCAAAGAGGATTAGTGCGAGGAGGCGGAGGAGGAGGCGGAGGAGGAGGACGGCGACGACGAGTGCTAATGGTGATATTGGCAGGTCGTGGGAGGAGGGATGGGAGGAGGTTCCAAACGGATGCGACAGTGCCATGAACAAAACTTTGACCCCAGCAGTCGACGGACGCGACGAGCACGATGATGACCGGGACGCCGAGGATGAAGACGGTGATGGGGAGGACGGCCCGACAGGGCATTGTCGCCCTCCCCCCCCGCCGCTCCAGAGCTGGGTGCTGGCGCAAGCTCCCCGAGTTCCACGTCCTCGACGGCGACCTGGTGCACCACCGCATGGCGGCCGTGCTCCACCAGGACGCACACACGGCCGTCCTCCACCTCGGGGCCGCCATGCAGCGTCCCGCGGCGTCCGTCACGAAGACCAGCGCGGTCGCCATCTCGCAGGCACGCAAGGGCAGGGCGGCACGGGAGGCTCCACCGCGGGGCCAACGAACCAGCCCGCTCGTTGCTCAGGTCGCCGTCGGAGGGGCCGTCCAGCACCACTGGCGCTTCGGCGCCGTCGGGTGGCGTCGGGCCGCCCTGGCCCGTGTCCTTTGTCCTTGTATCGCGTCGCCCTGCGCGGCGCGCTCCACCTGCCCCCCCCCCCCCCCCTGGCCTCCGCGTTCCATGCCATCGCTGTCGCCAGCTCTGCCGAGCCCGCGTTTGCATTCCCAGCTCGCCCGCGCGGGCGGCGCCGCCGCCGAGGGGCAGCAGCGGGCGAAGCCGCCGCCGCAAGAAGCGTGGCGAAAATGGGCGGCGCCGCCAGGACAACAACGGCCGCGCATGAGTCCCTGGGCGGCGCGAACGAGGCGTGCCGCCTCGCGCATTCCACGCCGACTGACAGCCCCGCAGCAGCGTGCACCGCGAGGACCGCGCCGCGAGCAGCCTCGAGCGGTGCGACCACGCGGGCGCGCTGCGTCGTCGGCGTCGGCGGCGTCGCAGGAGGCGGAAAACGCGACCCCTCAAGGCGAAGCTTGAGCCGAATAGGATGAGGAGGAAGAGAATGATGAGAAGGAGGAGGAGGAGGAGGAGGAAGAAGAGGAAGAAGAGGAGGAGGGGGAACCGGAGGAGGAGGAGGAGGAGGAGGTGGAGGAGGAGGAGGCGGAGGAGGAGGAATATACGAGGAGTATAGGATGATGATGAAGATGATGACGATGATGACGATGCTGATGATGCTGATGATGACGATGCTGATGATGCTGCTGATGATGATGATGATGATGCTGATGATGATGATGATGATGATGATGGCAGTGACGATGACGATGCTGATGCTGACGATGATGATGCTGACGATGATGATGATGATGATGATGATGATGATGATGATGATGATGATGATGATGATGATGATGCTGATGATGATGATGATGATGATGATGATGATGATGATGATGATGATGTTGCTGATGATGATGCTGATGATGATGCTGCTGATGCTGATGATGCTGATGATGATGATGGTGATGATGATGTTGATGATGATGATGCTGCTGCTTATGATGATGATGCTGATGCTGCTGCTGCTGCTGATGATGATGATGATGTTGTTG